TCACATTGCATGATTTCTGAGGTTTGTTTTTTTAGGTCACTCACACGTTGAACAACCTTTGCCAACAAAGAAGCTCTATCTATCTGTGCAAAACGAAATATTCAGTCAAAAAGGAGAAAAAGGAAAAGAAAAATTAATGATACCTAATGAAAGAGAAATCTTGGTCGACACTAAAGTTTCCTTTCAAGAAAAAGTGAAACAACTTTCCCAATACCATGAATAATTATGAACCCTAGGCCTAGAATCCAGTGTAATAACGAATCAAAAGTTTTCATTTTTTACACTATTAATGGGAATCTGGGCTTCGACCCTGAAAATAGCATCCGCAGAGATGCTCGAGCAGCCGATCAGAATGCACAGAGCAGTGAAGAATGAGGGATTAGCCTTCGAATGATATTTGAAATGTTGCAGACTCAGCATGCTGCGATAGCACAGCTCCAAAATCATAATCGAGTACCAAGAAAAATTGAGCTAATACATCACAAGAAGTTATTCATAGGTTACTGCCTTTTTTTACTAAAGTTTTCATTTAAAATCTCACAAGTGGAGTCTAGGGAGGATAGTGTATATGCAGATCTTACCCCTACCCCGATAGGACAGAGAGGTCATTTCGGATAGACCCTCCGCTCAAGGAGACGGAAAATGAGAAGAGACAATAAATCAGTACCGTCAACAGAAATCATAGAAATAATAACAGTATCATAAAAACCAGAAAATAGATGACAAACAATAACAATAACCAGTAATCAAGATCCGGTGTTATGAAACATAGAAGAATAGCGTGGACACAACTTTAACCACTAGCCATCTAAGATCAACCCTATCAAATTAGTCGCACCCTTGGTACGAAGAAAAAAAAGCTCGACTACATCTTAGCCTACAACCATAATTCTTGACCTCCAGACCTTGGGTCATGTCCTCGAAATTCTGCACCATGTCATATCTTGCCTGATCACCTCTCCTCAATACTTCTTAGGCCGTCATCTACCTCCTGTCCTATCCTTATATTAATTTATGCAAAATAGAAGGTAAATTTATCTTATACATTTTTCACTATGAACAAAAATATAAACTAAAAAAGGAAATGAATACTCTTTTCACAAAGAAGGAAAAAGAAAAAAGAAGGGAAGAAGGCCAAATTCGTACCTTTACTTTGATAAATTGTTCACGTTTATACTTCGTTATACTTTTCGTTTAAATATGTCCCTACCGTTAGCAAAGTAGATAAAATTGTCCCTAACCCTAACAGATCTCCAAAGTAGCAATGGAACCCCTCCCCAACGTGTCAATGGGACCCCTCAATTAATTTGCCAACTGGACAAATATCAACCCAAATTTCAAAAGACCCATGCCCATTTCTTTGACCCAACTATCCAACTACCTTATGGGTCCCACCTCTCTCTCTTAATTCGAGTATTCAACCACAACTTTTCTTCTTCCCCGTTTTTTCTTTTCCAATTCTTGTTTCTTCATTCTTTTTTCTTTTTCGTTTATGGCCAGGAAATTATGGCTCGTGATAAGGTAACCAACTGAAAATTTTATCAAAAAGAAAATATTTTGAGTAGAAAAAAAAAATCAATTTGAAAAATTTAGAAGATTCCGTAATAAATTGAAATCTAAATACACATTGAATAGCATATTGTACATGGCTAAAATCAGAGAGTCCGGTTTTATAATCGTTAGGGCATTCCTTAGCCCGTCTCCAGAAGGTTCGAGGCGCGATTCGAAGTTCGACCCTGAGGGTTACCTACGCTCGACCCAGGGGCAACACAAATCGGTGAATATCATGGGCAAGAGGGAAATTCCCAAAGGCACGTGGACAAAACTGCCAACGCCTGCAAAAATAGTACGAGTCTGTACCGGACATTAAGTAGTTGTACCAACTACGTTTCTTTGTAATAAATATACATGTACCATGTTTGGATTCTCCCCTTCTATATAAAGGGGACCCTTGTCATTTATTGCACATATTGTGTTTTGTTGGTTGTTCGTCATTTATTACTCATCATTGATCATAAAGAGCCATCAACAAGGCCTTCAGGACTGTTAAGCCCTTCATCGATCAGCCCCAGTCAAGAACCTTAGCTCGACCTCGAGGCCCAGCGTAGGCCGGCTCGAGACCTCATCTCACGACCATTTGGTTTGTATAGCATACTATCCACTTACTCTTATTTTACTTTCCTAGCTCACACTTAGCATCTATTGCATAAGAACTAGCATAAAAATAAATCACATATTTTTATAACCGTAAAATCAAATCTAATTGCAATTATCATTTTCAAGGTAAACACATATTATCAGTCGAGAAAAAAGGATTTGGAAATCTTCAAATCTCGCCGGAATGTCGACTATTTTTCAGATCGACCTGCCATATCCCTTCCACCCCTTTTTATCGTTTCTTCTCTTTTTTACTGTTCTCAAATCTCAAAATCTTCTAGTATGCTCAAATTGGATGCAACTTATTCTCTCTCCTTATGCTCATCTTACCCATTTCCTCCTTTTTGGTTTCATATTCAAGCCCATTTAAGCGAGACATGTTCAAGCATGGTCAAGAACCATCTGCGAAGAAACTCATCGGAGTTTGGTCGGAAGAAGCTTCGACGATTCTCCATTCACTATCTTACCAGCAATGAAGAAACCCATCGGAGTTTGGTCGGAAATCCGATCTGTGATCCGTTAGAATCCAGTTATAAATTCAAATGGAGAAACCAGCACTATTGATAGGGAAAAATCATCTTTTTTGTATCCTTTTGTTAGAGACCTCTTCATTGTCATCGTCGATTTGTTTCCAAATTTTAACCTATTCATTTGTGATAGTTGGGTCAAATATGGGTCTTTTAATTTGGGTTGATATTTGTCCAGTTAGCAAATTAATTGAGGGGTCACATTGCCACGCTGGAAATCTGTTAAGGTTATGGACGATTTTATTTACTTTGTTAACGGTAGGGACATATTTAAACGGAAAGTAGAACGAGGTACAAACGTGAACAATTTATCAAAGTCGAGGTACAAATTTGGTCTTTTTCCCAAAAGAGAAACACAGAATTCTAGTTTATCAACACACCATTTTATTCAACAAGATAAGCGTACGGAGTTAATATAAAAAGAAAACATTTAGGGTGTGTTTGGTATAACGGAAAAAAATTTCTGTGGAAAATGTTTTCCAAGAAAATATTTTCTTGGAAAACAACTAGTAATCTTATTCATTTTCCGTTGTTTGGTACACAAATTAAGGAAAATGACTTCTCAAGAGTATTCATAAATAATTTAGATATAATAAACACAAAGCCATAAACTTTCAAACCAACACCTTTCGAACCCCCAAATTTCATAAACTTTCGAACCCCTAAACTTTCGAAACCGCGGAATTTCGAACCCGTATACTTTATAATTTCTAGACCCGTAAACTTCCAAACACATAAACCTCCGAATTCATAATTTTGGAACTTGTAAAATTTTGAACCTTTAAACTGATAAATAAAAAAATTAAAACTGANTGATAACGGAAAAAACTGAAATTTTTAAAAAAGAAAAATTGGAGAGAGGGGGTGGGGTGTGTTGGTGAGGGTGGGGAAGGTTGATAAGGAGTTTTGGAAAATATTTTCCCTTCTCTTGATAAGGAAATTGGAGGAAAATGAGTTCATAAGTAAAATGTTTCCAAAACATTTAAACCAACAAAACATGAAAAAATTGGAAAATATTTTCCTTCATACCAAACACACCCTTAATCTTACTTTTACAGATATGACAAACGAAAATGTTAGGTTCGGGAATCCGGATAGTGCAGAATTCAGTCAAACAACGTTATAATGACAATAACAAATACAATGCAAGTTGATAATAACGGCAATTAAAGCATATAAAGGAGGCACAAATTTAACGTGGTTCGGTCAAGGTGACCTACATCTACAAGTAGAGAGGAGCAATTTCACTATAACAATCGGCACACAAAAAAAGTACAAAATTAGAGATGAAACTCTAATTATCCCAAAATATATTCGAAGAGAATAACCTCGCTACAATCACTCACAAAGAAGAGGTTCACTCAATGTGTTTCCTAACACTAACACTATGGAATATAATAAAACTCTCTATTACACGAATACTCAAAATGAGTTTCTAATCAAAATATGGGATGATTCAAATGAAGTAAAATGGCCAATATTTATAAGGCAAAGTTCTTGGTCCCCAAGTAAAGAAAAAAGAGTAAAAGAAAATATTTTTATTCTTTGGCTCCAAGCTAGAGTTCTTTGACTCCAAGTTTGAATACTTTGGCTCCTAGTTTGCTATGGACAAATTTAGGCCATATCTTACAGAAAGGGATGTAACAAACAACAGTAGCGAAAGAAAGAGAGTAAAAATTAACCGTAGACCTACAAGGGAGAAGGGTTCTGAGTTTATTAAGATGAGAGTTGATCCTCTCCCTTCGTCTTCTTTCAGCTTCTTTATGAATATTTTTTGAAGCAGCAATATTAATAGCTCGATACTCTTCAGGTTTACACACTATAATTTCCTGAAGTTCCATAGGTTTCCAAAATCATTATGAAAACCATATTCTTCGACCTCGTTCATTAACCATTATAAAGCCGACCAAATTCTCCAATTGTTACATATTCATGGTTTTGAGATTTGAATGGTACTTGGCTGAGAAAAAAAGTGAGAACAAATATATAACAAATTAAGATGATGATAGTCTAGGGTTTGATGTGACTTTTCTTTCCTCTTCTTTTGTAACAACAGCTATTGACGAAAAGAATAAAAGCAAAGAAGAAGACAAATAAGAAGAAAAGATAAGGATTGTTTCATTCAGCATAATATTCCAAATGGAATTACGCAGAGATAAATAAGACAAGATTCTTTAACAACCTAGACAGGTGACAAATAAAGCAGTGGCCACTTGAAGGGACTGAAAACTAAGCAATAAAGGACTTTATTGACATAAATTAAACTTAAGACCTAATTTGCAAAATATCATAAAGAGATTCTAAGACTTCAGACTATTTCCAATTCAGAAACATTAGCATCGTCTCACAACAATCCCATCCCCCATTGAAGATCCTTAACAGTAAAGTCAAGGTTATGCATCATCAAATTTAGGAAACTAAGAATGAAGGAATCCGTAATCTTCCCACGTAGCCTCTTCAGGAGAAAGATTAGCCCACTGTACCAGAACTTCTGTCACTGCCTTGTTCCTTTTCTTAACCTCCGATCCAAAATCGCCACCAGTTCCACGGGAATTTGGCCCTCGTTATTGCAAATTGGAGGATCAATCATAGCTACCACTTGATTACCCACTTTCTTCTTCAATTGCGAAACATGAAACACCGGGTGAATTTTTGATCCGGGTGGCAACTTCAATTTATATGCTATTTGGCCAATTTTTTCCAAAATCTGATAAGACCCGTAGTACTTTGATGCTAACTTCAGATTTTTCCGTCTTGCTACCGACGCCAGTCGATATAGTTGCAGTTTGAGGTATACCCATTCTCCTTCCTCAAAAGCCCTCTCAGTTCTTTTAGAATATACATAAAGTTTCATCCTTTCTTGTGCTTTCTTCAGATTTTCCTGCAACACTCGACCAATCACTTGTCTTTCTTTTAACACTTCATCCACTGAATTCACCCGAGACTAAGCAATAAGTTCAAATGTTGGCAGGGGAGGATCATAGCGATAAAGTGCCTTAATAGCTGAGTGGTAAGTCGAGTTGTACCAGAATTCCGCTAAGCTCAACCATTTGCTCCAATTCACAGGTTTATGAACTGTCATACAACGAAGGTAACATTCCAAGCATCTATTCAACCTTGTTGTTTGACCATCCGTCTGTGGATGATATGTTGTACTCTGCCTTAGTTTCACTCCCATTCCCTTAAACAATTCCTTTCAAAACAAACATGTAAATGCCGGATCTCTATCATAAACAATTGAAACTGTACTTCCATGTAACTTGTAAATGAGATCCAAGAAAACTTGTGCTACTTGTGGTGCTGTATATGGGTGGGATAATGCTAAAAATGAGCATACTTAGTAAAGCGATCCACAACTATAAAGATTACCTCTTTACCATTTAACTTAGGCAGTCCTTCAACGAAATTCATCGTAATATGATCCCACGCCCTTGAAGGAATTGGTAAGGGCTGAAGAAGCCCTGGATAAGCCACATTTTCTCCTTTGTTTCTCTAACATATATCACATTCAGAGACTAGCCTTTTAACATCCTCATTGATTTTGGGCGAGTAGAATAAAGACTTGAGTCTTTGCTGAGGAGCATGGACACCTGAATGTCCTCCCCAAGTAGTTATGTGCATAACTTCTACCAATTGACACATCGGTTTCCCACTGCTGCCAATCCATATTTGGCCTTTGTGCTTTAAAAGGCCTTGTTGTAGGGTCACATTTGGTACTGCATTAGCATCCGGTAGTAGTTGAGACAACACTTTATCCATTTCAATGCCCTTTTCGTAGCTGCTTAAAACTTCTTGCATCCATGTTGGTTGCACTACTAATATTACCTTGCATTTAGCCTCTTCTTCAAATAGTCGAGATAGAGCATCTGCAGTCACATTTTCTACCCCCTTTTTATACTATATCTCGTAACTAAGACCCAACAACTTAGTTAGGCCTTTGTGTTGTAAGTAGGTAGTCATTCTTTGGTCCTTTAAGAACTTTAAACTGAAATGATTAGTTTTGATAATGAAGTGGGCCGACTGCAAGTAGTGCCTCTATTTTTCAATAGCCAACAACAATGCAATCAGCTCCTTTTCATAAGTGGAGAGCCCAAGATGATTTGGGCACAAGGCTTGACTAAGAAAGGCCAAGGGCCTACCTTCTTGCATTAACACTACCCTAACTCTTGATCCACATGCATCGGCCTCCACTATAAAAGACTTGGAAAAGTCGGGTAGTGCCAAAATAGGGGCCTGGATCATAGCTTGTTTCAAAATTTCAAATACTTGTGTTTCTTCATTTGTCCATAGAAAGGCTCCCCTTTTCAGCAGGTTGATAAGAGGATGACTAATCAAAGCAAAATGCTTGATAAACCTTCTATAATAACCAGTCAGTCCCAAAAAACCTCTAAGAGCTTTTACACTGTTGGGCCTGGACCAATTAAGCATGGCTTCTATTTTTGAGTCATCAGTGTTGACCCCTTCACCCGAGATAATATGTCCTAAATACTCAATTTGGGCCTGACCAAAAATGCACTTGGAGCGTTTTTCAAATACTTGATTAGCCCGTAATAGCTCAAAAACATCTTAAGATGGGCCATATGGTCAGTCAAATTGGAACTATAGACCAATATATCATCAAAGAAAACCAAGATGAATTTTCTAAGATAAGGCCCAAAATTTTTATGCATAAGTGCCTGAAATGTTGCTGGGGCATTAGTGAGCTCGAAGGGCATAACACGAAACTGCCAAAATCCATGGTGGGTGTGAAAAGCAGTCTTGAACTCATCCCCTACTTTCATGCGAATCTGATAATAGCCTGATCATAAATCCAATTTAGAATAAAAATATGCTCCATCCAATTCATCCAGTATATTTTCAACAACTGGAATTGGATATTTATTTTTCATTATAATGTCATTCGATTTTCTGTAATCCACACACATCCGCCAAAAAGCATCTTTCTTTTTCACCAATATAACTGGTGAAGCAAAGGGGTATGAACTGGGAACTACAGTGCTAGTTTGTAGCATCTCTTGAACAAATTTCTCAATGACATTTTTCTGCTCATAAGAGTAGCGATATGGCCTTTGATTTACTGCTTTAGCACCAGGAATTAGTTCAATAGTGTAATCACAGTCACGACTAGGAGGCAACCCTTTAGGCTCACTAAATAAATCCATGTAACTGGATAATATCTATTCAAGCTAGGTTGGAATGTCCACTGTAATGATTGTACCCTCTGATGCATTCAGTTGGGCCTGAGCCACAAAGCTACAATAATTTCCTTGTAACAATTTCATCATTGCCTTGGCATTGGTGGATGATATCTGAGTAGCCTCTTAACTCCCAAACAAGGTCACCACACTATCTCCCATCATGAATGAAATACTACGAGGATTGATATTTAACAACACTGGAGCAACCGAATCTATCCAATCCATTCCCTAGATTATGTCGCAACCAGGGACCTTTAGCCAATGCAAATTAAAAGTAAATGGAATATCATTCATCTCCCAAACAAAGCTAGGATTTAAATAAGTATAAACCATTTCATACCTACTGGCTACATTAACATGCATAGCCCTCTTCATAGGTTCTCCCAGTAAGCCCAATTTCTTTGGTACATTTGGATCAATGAAACTGTGAGTTGATCCACAATCTATTAAAATGACAAGTGGAATTCTTTTGACCCGACCCAAAATTTTAATTGTAGATGGTGAAGAATCCAAAGAGTTTAAGCCCATTAAGATATTCAAAGAAACTTCAGCTGTTACTTCTGCACCCTCTTCCACTACTGGACTTTCCTCTTGGGCCTCGTCAACAACTTGAGCTGCACCTGAATTTTCTCCTTTTTCATACTCACCGGTCATCAGTTTTAATGACTTGGGCTTGCATTGATGCCCTGGGTAATATCGTTCATGACATTTAAAACAAATATTATGTTGTCTCAATACATCTAATGACATATTCTTGGGAACAGTCTGCTTTGTAGGCCCATTGGTCAATAGTTTCTGAGTTGTAGGATTGGGAAAGGTTAGTATGGTTTTAGCATTTGATGGTACTGAGTTGGGAGAATTTAGAGTGAATCTGGGATAGGTAACTATGTATCTAGGCTGAAGGTTTTTATAGATAGCAGATAAGGTCTCTTCATGCAATTTTGCAACCTCCAAAGCATCCATTAATGTTAGAGGGTTAGAAGCTCTCACCATTGATTTTAAATCAGCTTTAAGACCACCCACAAAACATGAAACAAAATAGGGTTAATTAAGAGTTGTATTTACTAATAACAAGTAATACCGCAACTCTTCAATCTTCACCTGATAGCTATCCACGTCACCCTTTTGCTCTAATCAATTAAATTCCACTACCACATCCATTGGTCTAATGTTACTATACCTCCGACACACATCTAAGCAGAACAACTCTCACGAAACATTTCCACCATGATCCATCATATAAGCATCAAACCATGTATCAAGTTTATCCTTAACATGCATTGCAACATACTGCATTTTAAGGTCAGAAGGAACCTGGTATAGTTCAAAAAATTTGTCAAACCTTCTAATCCATCCCCGTGAGTTGTTGGTGTCAAATTCTGGAAAGGTTAACTTGGCTTTTGGAAAATTAACCAGATTGTGTGTGTTTGCAGGTGTTTGAATGAGAGTTGGACCCAAAGCAGGCATTTGAAATCTAGAAGGTCAACCAAAAGAGGATATTGTGTTGTGTTGGTTCAGAGTTAGGGCTGGTCTGGATGTGAAATAAATGGGTTGATATGAAGGAAGAGAAATGGGTAAAACCATTGAAGTAGGCATGGTGTTGGTATAAGAAACAGGGGTGGTGTGGAGACTAGTAGGCATAATGGAATTGTTAACACTGTTAGTGTTAACAGGTGTAGTATTCATAGAATTAAAATAAAAAGAAGTAGTAGAAAGTTGGTAATACTTGGATAAAAAGAGGGTGGTGGTGGTAATATGGTAGTATTTTGAGGATTGAAGGGAGCTGGAGTAAATTTCATAGCCCTACCAGCTTGGGGAAATGAAATATTAGTGGTTGAAGGAGTAAATGAAGAAGCAGAAGAGCAAAGATTACACCCCACAGAAGACTCACCCATTTTTGAAGATGAACCACCTTGTAACAACAAGGCATGTGCCAGAGTATTGATGAAAGACTCAGCTTGTCGTTCCCACTCGAGTTGTGATAACAAAAGTTCGATCTTCTAGTTACTTTCCTCTTCTCTTCGAGCAACTTCGGCATCACATCGAACTTGAAGCTCCTCCATTTGAGCTACTCTTTTCTGTGTATCTAACATATAGGCCTTCATCTACGATTCAAACTTCTTCCAATCGTTAGCATCCTCAGATGCTTTACCTTGTTGTTTGTCCACCATCACTGGAACAGGACGTCGGAACGTTACCGCTCTGATACCAATATATAACAACGACTATTGACGAAAAGAATAAAATCAAAGAAGAAGACAAATAAGAAGAAAATATAAGGATTGTTTCATTCAGCATAATATTCCAAATGGAATTACGCAGAGATAAATAAGACAAGATTCTTTAACAACCTAGACATATGGCAAATAAAGCAGTGGCCACTTGGAGGGACGGAAAACTAAATAATAAAGGACTCTATTGACATAAACTAAACTTAAGACCTAATTTGCAAAATATCATAAAGAGATTCTAAGGCTTCAGACTATTTCTAATTCACAAACATTACTATCGTCTCACAACATCTTTTGGTCGTGGCCACATGGGTGGATGATACCCTTCTTTAATTTTTACCTTTGTTTCCACTCAGGTTCGGATATCCGCATCGGAGTTTTAATTAATTTAGGTTCATGCTACGTAAGACATATTAAAGTGAGAATACTCCTGATCAGGATTTGATCTATTATATGATTTGAAGCTAGAGTCTCTCTATGCTCAGCCACCAAATTGTAGCGTCTCAAACCAAAATCTAGATCATGAAGCTCGCTTCTCTCACCTCACAATCATGGCGTCTTCTTAGTTTGTACAAGAAAAAAATCCCAATATTAAAGTGAAATGGTGAAAGTCCGTTGTATTGAATCAAACTGTTTACCCTAAAAAATGATAACAATTGATTTTTTATGTGGTTTGAAGGATATGCGGGTTAATTCGATACAAATAATATATTGTGTTAGATTAAACAGATAAAAGACGTAATAGATTATCAAACCACTTAACGGGGTGATTTCGGACTTCAATGATAACCTTAATGAATTGCATGTCCTCGATCCCGGACTTACAATAACTAAGCACTGATGAACAAGAATAAGAGCTTTGAATAACAGAGTAAATAAAAGTATATTGCCTTGATGTACGTATTACAGTGTGTTGAATGAACAGTCAAGTTCTACTTTAAGTACAATTCTATAAAAGGTAAAAATCTCTCGTTTAACCAATCGCTGGATTTCTGCCGATATGTGTCGAGATCCACGCCGTGATATCCGGCTGGTCATAGATATCGCAACTTTTTGTTGTCCATTCTTGATTGCCTGACTATGCTCTTTGAGGCCTTTAGGATTCGGATCAGACCAAGTTCATGACGAGAAATGACATGAGCACTTCGATTCCTTCTTCAATACACCATAACAGAAATGTCCCTTCAGTCCCGTCATAATGACTTAAAATGCGTGTCCACCATTGGCAGGTCATCCCTGTGCACGAAACGGTGCAAAGCCCTTGTAAATACTCCTTCCTTCATTCATTTTTACCTCTTGACCAAGATTCTACCTTCGAACCATTAGAATACTACTGCCTTCCCTCATAGTCCAACATTTTACCTTCGTTCATCAAGATTTCTCAACAAATTGCAAGTTTTTATTTATTTTTTACCCAAATCGTCGCACTTGACTCTCTCAGCAAAGCTCTTACCCAACCATTCTTCACATTTTCTAAACCTTTTCCTATATAACAATGGCAAAAATATCCAAATTTGTTCCCTAAAAAGTTGCTTCATCCTCTTCGCAGCCGACCACCGAAGCCGAGGCGCCCTCTCCTGATGTGGTTGTCCTCTAGAGGAACGTTTCGGGCGCAGTGATCAATGAACCGGCTGCCGAGCCTCCCTTGAAAATGTTTATCCTTGGGGGTGTTCGATCGTGGATGATTTTAAGGTTGAAAAGCCCTCATCGGTGCAAGGCCGATGCGAGGCGCTATCTAGGTACATCTGCTCCATCACCAAAGCCATCCTCCCTGTGGTTCGAAAGGACACTGGCTAGGCAAATAAGACATAGTCATCCCCGGGCCTGATAGCGACATTACTACCCATGTGGAGAGATATTTTAGTGTCTACACTTATCCCTTCATACTAGTCTTGGGGGACCTGATTATTCTGGAATTCTGTGGGAGGTATGAAGTAAGTATCGGTCAGATCCACCCATCGATGTGGAGGATCGTAATCCTCCTTTAATTCTTTGTGAACAAAATTGACTCTTGTTTTTTCACCATCGATCATCTACTCTACCTGTACAGTCCCTGAATTTTCCGGGGGGGAATGATAAAGCTCATATGCTGGGCTAGCAAAGCCCCATTTTCAAGCATCGACGAGGACCGAGGCTAGCATGGACGCTTTGTCTGGGTGAGGACCACAGATTTGATCCTTGCCAAATTTAGGCCATTCCTCTAGAAGTGGAATGTATCATGTAAGCATACTTTCTTTTAGATGTCGATTTTATATTTTATCTCCTTTTTTCTCATCGGTAGTTGTTGTGGTACAGCCCATGCTTGAGTCCCAAACGCGGCTCAAGGAGTGGATCAAGGGCATTTTCTCACAGATGACCTATTCTGAGCGTTCATAGCATGATCTCTCGCAGGGCTGTTGGGAGGCCCTTTCTCATGGTAAGATCTCTTTCCAGGATAAGTATCATTAGGCTTCCCTCCCCAAGTGCAGATCCCGGCCATAAGCGGTCAATAATCATCATCGTCCCGGAGGATGCATAGGTTTTTTCCCGCCCTGTTGGAATAGCGAGATATCTCCAGTTCCTAGTAACCAAAGAAGACCAGGCGAAGATGAACGATGTGGGAGTTCCATGTCTGTTCAAAGAAGCGCAGCAGGCGCTGAATCGGGTAAGGTTCCATTATGCTTTTTCGTGTTCTAACTAAGTTCTTAATGTTACTCATGTCTTTTCTTTTTTATCTTTTTGCAGGCCTCGGTTCTTCACCATGAAAGTTTTCTTAGGTACCGGGCTGAGATTAACCTCGAGGCCAAGGTCAGGGAGCTCGCCAAGAATAGGACTCGTATAATCTTCTTAGCGAGTAACACGAAGAAACTGTCACGAGCCTTCAGGATGAGTTAGATGCGGCTCAGAAGGGGCATGCCGACCTGGTGGAACAGGTAAAGATTTTTTAAGCTAGCAATTATGAGTTAGCCATGGCAACTAATGGCCAAACCTCGCAGGTCTAGCAGAAGGTTGACAGGGTCAACCAACTCCAAGACGAGATGAACGAGGTCAAGGCCATGGCCGAAGAGTGGAAAGGAAAAATGGGCCGACTGGCTTCGAAAAAAACCGCCTGGGAGCAACTAGCATCGGCAGAGGTCCAACTCTGAATGGCGAAGGAGAATGCTCAAGCACGGGCCTGACAAATCGAAGAACTTCTGTCTCAACTGGGCTCGGGCATTGCTGAATAGGATGCCCTTGGAAAGGAGCTCGAAATAGCAAGGTCTGTGTCAGAAATAACCAGGGCTGATGTTGAAGAAATCGTGGACTAGTACAAGGCCAATGCCGAGGCAGCTCAGGACCACCTGAAACTTACTGTTGAATATGTGAAGTGGCAGTCCATAAGGGAGGCTCTCGAGGAGGTCCACGCCCGGGGTGTCGACCTCTCGACCGAGATCGAAGATGCGAGAAGGATCGAGGACGAGGCCAAGAAGCTGGCTGACCCCGAGGGTGACGGATGCTCTATGGGCTCCGGCAAACCCAAGGATGGAGAAGACTTTGCCGGCTCCGGTGATGAGGCGGGTCCTGGTGAAGATCGGGACTAGGTGCCTTAGGGATTTTTCTTTGTTTTTGCATTTTGTTCATTTTGTTGCGGCCGTTATCATTAACCTTTATAATGACTTTTATTGGAATGTATATAAGGCTTTTTTCCCTTTGGCAATTTTTGAGTTCGTTTCTTTTGGATTCCTCTTTATGATTGCAAAGATTTCAAATGCCTTAGCATGGGATAAAACATAGTAATAAGGTCATGTTAGAAGTTTCGAACAAGACTTGTTCTTGATGGAAATTTTGTGTGAAACTTTTGGGGGCTCGGTATGGCCGGAAGCTTTCCCCGAAGTGCTTGTTTAGATGTTTTTAGATTACAATTTTGCTGAGGGTAGCCTTTGAACCGGTTTGGAATTTTGAAGGCCTTATGTTTTGATTATGGGCTTCGGACGTCTCTGAGTCGCTTCTAGGTTGGTCGTAGTCTTTTATGTTCAAGTATTTCCTAATAGGCTTTGTACCTTTGGGCTTCGATACTCAAGCCGTCCGAACTTTCCTTGGATGATGCTCCCCAAGTGAGGGTGCCCGTAGCCTTTTAAGTTTAGGCACTACCTAATAGGCTTCTGTGCCTCCAGGCTTCGGTAGCCTGAGCCGTCCGAGTTTGCCTTGGACGACAGTCCCCGAGTAGGGGTGATCTCTTGGATCCAGATAGAGTTGGCCCTTGGGCTCGATATTCTTAAGGAATAAAACGTAATAGTCTTAAGAGGAAAATATATATCTGCAAAGTAGAAACTTTCTTTCATTCCTATGCGCAATATACAAGATTGTAAGTGTGTACAAGCTTCGTGTTATGGATTAGGTGGTCTATGCGGGCACAGTTCATTTAATCATTTGGCCCTTACAATAAATCCTATCCACCGAGCCTAGATTGTTCAAGCACAATATTTCCTTCCTTGCTAAAATCATTACCCGAGAGTAATGGCCCCTAGTATTCGAGGTCGATCGTCAAGAGGGCTCAGATACTGTTGATGTGACCATTGATTTCGGTTCATACCCGATCTTCAATTCTAAGTTAGCACAGTGCAATGTTGCCTCATTAAAACCCTTGTCTGAAAACCTATTTGGGACAAAACTAGTTCAAGGAAAAAGAGTGCAACATGTGCTTTCAGGCCTAATATCTGCATAATTCTTTGGTTGTCGCTTGCAAGTGTTAGTCCAGTTTGCAATACACGTAGAGAAAAGAATGATTCGGGTCGTACCTTAGTAGTAGTATCATTTTAAGTGGGTTACGTTCCAGTTGTTCGGTAGTTTCTCACCATTCCCTACTTCGAGTTTGTATGAACCTTTACCGGTAATCTCGATAAATCGATATGGACCTTCCCAATTTTGTCCCAGCTTCCCTTCGTTCGGGTTCCTGGTGTTCAGTATTACCTTTCTTAATACCAAATCCCCGATATTGAAGAGCCGGAGGTTGGCTCTCTGGTTGTAATACCTTTCGATCCATTATTTTTGGGCGGCCAACTGGATGAGGGAGGCCTCGCGCCTCTCGTCCAATAGTTCCAGGCTCGTACTCACGGCCTCACCGTTTGAATCCTCGGTCACATATCAGAATCTGAAACTCGATTCTCCTACCTCGACCAGTATTAGCACTTCGGCACCGTAGATCAACGAGAATGGGGTGGCCTCAGTACAAGATTTTGAGGGCATATGGTACGCCCATGGGACTTCCGGTAAAATGTCCTTCCATTTTCCTTTGGCGTCGGTCAATCTCTTCTTAAGGTTTTGGAGTATGGTCTTGTTAGTAGACTCCGCCTGCTTGTTCCCACTTGGGTGATAGGGTGTTGATAGGATCCTTTTGATCCTATGGTCCTCGAAAAATTTGCTCAGCTTACTGCCGATGAACTACTTCCCATTGTCACATACGATCTCAACTGGCATTTTGAACCGGCAGATTATGTGGTCCCAAATAAAATTAATAACTTCTTTCTCCCTGACTTTGTTAAAGTACTGAGCTTCAACCCATTTAGAAAAATAGTCAATAATAGATAATATAAATTGAGCCTTACCGGGTGCCCATGGAAGTGGACCGATGATGTCCATTCCCTATTTCATGAATGGCCAAGGTGATAAGACTGAATGCAGTAGCTCCCCAGGATGGTGGATCATTGGTGCGTGCCTCTGACAGCCATCGCATCTCCGTACAAACTCCTTGGCATCTTTCTCCATATAGATCCAGTAATAGCCAGCTCTGATTATTTCATGAACCAATGATTCGGCCTCTGAGTGGTTTATGCAAGTGCCTTCGTGAACTTCCCTCAAAACCTATTCGGTGACTCCCGGTCCTAGACATATGGTGAGTGTGCCATTGAATGTTCTTCTGAATAGTAGCTTCTCGGTCTTCAGGTAATCTATATACTTGTTTCTCCAGTCCCAAGTTAAGCTTGTCTTGTTTATCTTCAGTGTGGTCTACTTCCACTACCGATTTTATGAGTTGTATGACCGTTCCTAAGTTGAACTCATGATCGTCGTCAACGAACGACCCCAATTAGCTAGAGCATCGGCTTCGCTATTTTGATCCCGGGGTACATGTTGCAGGGTCCACTTCTTGAATCGGTGTAGCGTTACCTGTAGTTTATACAAGTATCTTTGCATTTGTTCTTCTTTCACTTCGAACGTCCTATTGACTTGATTCACCACAAGGAGGAATCGCATTTGGCTTCGATCACTTTGGCCCCCAGGCTTTTAGCCAATTTGAGACCTGCAATCATGGCCTTATTGTTAGTCAGTTTCACAGTTCTAATAAATTGTCAAACTACGTTACCTGTGGGTGGATTTAACACGATGCCAAGTACATAACCTTTTGCATTTGAGGCACCGTTTGTAAAGAGGGTCCAGAACCCGAGGAAGTCCCCGAGTTCAACAACAATTCCCTTTCGACTTCGGGTATTAGGGCCGGTGTGAAGTCTCATCCAAAATTTGGGATTTGATGGTGGTACGGGGTCGATATTCGATATCGTATTCGCTAATTTCTATGGCCCATTTGGCCAATCGTCCCGAGAGCTCGGGTTCATGCATGTTCTTAACGGGTAAGTAGTTACGACACATATGGGATGGCATTGGAAATATGACTTTAACTTCTGGGAGGCGCTTAGCAAAGAGAGCGCCAATTTCTCCAGGTGAGGATACCTAGTTTCGGCCTCTCCTAGAGTCCTAATAACATAATAGATAGGAAATTATGTACCTTCCTCTACCCGGACTAGGACTCCACTTACCGCTATCTCGAATACCGCTAAATACAGGTACAACGGCTCGTCTGCCTTCAGAGTATGAACCAAAGGCGGGCTCGAAATATAATGCTTGAGTTCTTCCAAAGCTTGTTGGCACTTCGGGGTCCACGAGAAGTTATTCTTCTTCTTTAGAAACGAGAAGAACGATCGCTCTTTTCGGAGCACCTTGAAATGAATCAACCCAAGATGGTTATGCGCTCGGTTAGTCTTTGAATGACCCTAACATTGTCCACCACGGTGATGTCCCTATGGCCTTGATCTTGTCGCGCCTGATCTCGATCCCTGGTTTGACACCATAAATCTAAGGAACTTCTCGGACCCGACTCCGAATGCACATTTCTCCAGGTTAAGCTTCATACTATATTTCTTCAATATGTTGAAGGTTTCCTGCAAATGTTCTAAATGGTCCTCTGCTCGCACGGACTTTACTAACATATCATCAGTGTATACCTCTATCGATTTTCCTATTTGTTCTTCGAACATCTGATTTACTAAGCGTTCGTAAGTGGCACCGATGTTCTTTAATCCGAATAGCAGTACATTGTAACAATAGGTGTCGTATTTAGTGATAAAGTAAGTTTTTTCCTAATCGCCCAGGTCCATCTGGATTTGGTTGTACCTGTAATAGGCATCAAGAAAGTTGAGGATCTCGTGGCCGGCGGTCGCATCGATCATGCGATAATTGTAGGGACTACTACTATGTTTTCTAACCAATTCAGGTATTTAACTTCCCAAATGAAACCTATTTTAGGAGTTTAGATACCTCATCTTTGATGAATGCATACTTGACTTTGGACTGAGGCCTCCTCTTCTGTTTAGCCGGGTAAAACTTCGGATCTAAGCTCAGCCTGTGAGTAGTTATTTCCAGTGGGATTCCTATCGTGTCAAGATGGGACCAAGCGAAACAATCCATGTTAGCTATAAGGAATTCAATGAATTTTCTCCTGAGCTCAGGACTTAACCCTATGCCCTAATATATCCTTCGATCGGGTAGGTGCTCGATCAATATGTCTTGCTTCAGCTCTTTGACTGTTGACTTGGTGACATCTGAATCGTCAGAGGTTATGAAAGACTTGGGAACTTTGTAGTCGTCATCCTCGCCCATCCCTAATTTTCTGGTTCGGTCGGGGCCGGTGTTAGTGATTGCTATTTGGTTTCTTCCTTGGTGACCGAACTCGGGTCTATTGACACCGAGAGTATGGATATCAGGATCACCTCATCGACTGCGAATATCTCTCTTACGGCCGGTTGCTCTCCGTAAACTATTTTAATTCCTCTCGGTGTGGGGAATTTCAATGCCTGGTGTAGCGTCGAGGGTACTACCCTCATGTTGTGAATCCATGGTCTCTCGCACGGAGCATAGTATCTTATATCTCCTTCGATCACGTAGAACTTTATTTTCTGAACGGTTCTTGCAGTGTTCACTAGTAGGGTTATCTCCCCTTTAGTGGTCTTACATGACATGTTGAATCTGTTTAGAACTTGGACGACATGCACAATTTGGTCATGTAGACCCAGCTGTTCTACGACCCTCGATCTGATAATATTGGCCGAGCTACTTGGATTAATTAACACACGCTTTACTCGAGATTTATTTATGATTACAGATATTACTAGTTCAATATTGTGTGGTTGCACGATGCCTTCAGTATCCTCGTCGTTGAAAGATATTGTTCCTTCTGAATCTCGAGTCCCTTTTCCTTCTGATGGAAATTTTGGTGCATTTTAACGTCGTCCCCTAGGGGACGTCGACCCCACCAATGATCATGTTAATGACGTGCTAAGGTTCCTCTTGCTCGATCTACTTATTGGAGTCCCTATTCCTGAAGTGATTTTTGGCTCGAACACTCAGAAACTCTCGGAGAT